CCTTTGGAGCCGGCGCCGAGGATCACGAACAAGAAGAACTTTCACAGGAAGAGAGGCTTGGCTTACACCACGGCGGCTGAGTACCACGCCAGGGAGGAGCAACGACACTGGGCATGCCCAAATCTTGTTCCTGACCTGGACGGCGGCCTGGCGCCAAGTGGCTACGTGGCGGACTCGAGGACCAGCAGCCCACAAGATGTGATCAGGACACGGCGCGGCCACCCTTGCGCGAGCGCACCCGCGAGTGCCAGCGAGACAGCTCCATTACGCTCAGCGCACCACTGTGCAATTACGCACCACGGGCGGAAGACGAGATCCAGGCATCGCTGCAGGGCCAGAGTGGCTGGCGCAAGTGCCAATCCCAGCGCACCTCATGGAGTAAAGTACCCGGAGTGCGGCAAGTGGCTCACAGAGGTTCGGGAGCGGCCAAGAGGGGGGTGTCCAAGAGGGGGGGGGTGCAAATCATGACCGGCGGCACGTGCCCGGCCCAGCGGGGGGGCCAGGGACGTCATGAAACAGGCAGGGGCGCCAAGAAATCTGGGGAAAGATCATGGCCCCCGCCATGAGATCCACCCCCCCCCTAGTCATCACCCCCCTCTTTTCCGCCCCCGAGAGGTGGGAGTGGCACACGGCGACGGCCGGGCCTGCGCCAAAAGGAGGCCCAGACGGCGGCTCGCCGCAGCCGGGAGGAGCAGCAGACACGACTCCGAAAGCGGAAGGGCACCCCGACGCCCGTTCTACGGTGCGGTCGTTTTGCAATACGGCGTGCAACAATGATTACCGGGCATACCATGGAAAGGGCAATCCTAGCCCTTGCGGATCGCGGGGCGGAATGGTCACGTTGGTGGAGGGTGTGGCTGTGTTCCAACTAACGGAAGGCGCCTGCGGCAACGGTGGGCCATGTGACGCGCATCGTCAGCGACTGCACGAATGCAGACGGCACGGCTTCCTGGGTGACCTGTTGGAGATTGGAGCACGATGCTGGCGGACGCACCCGTACATACGAGATGGGACGCCTCACGGTGCATCAGCAACGCCGCGGTGTACCGCTGCGAAGCAAGCACGTGCTCGGGGCTTCGACGGGAGGGCGGCGTGGCGGCCCACAGTGCCGTGGCATTCGGAGCCGACCTGCGTCGGCGACCCCGGTGTGTCGAGCGACAGCTGGGCGGACACCAGTACGTGGGCAGACCGCACGGTGTCGACGCGGAGCGGTGACTCGACGTGGCACGGAGACGCTGGGACTAGTACGAACACATCTGGAGGGATGCCGCGCACGACGCGTCTCTCGCCAAGGGAACGTCGGGCGCACAGCGTGGGGTGGACGGCAACTCCCTGTTGCTATGGAAACGACGGGGGAACGGGCCTGGCTCATGCTGCAGGAGGTCGTGGAGGCCGCGGCGGGCGGACTGAGACTGGTCACTGCCCCGACCCTGCCGACGTGCTGCAGCGGATTTCTGCGTGGACTTTTGCCGGAAGCGGCGAGCGAAAATCGACGTGAATTTCGCGTGGGTTTTTCTTGGTCTTCGTTCCTGGTCAAAACAAAAACGCGCGAAATTCGCCTCGAAATCCGGAACGAAATTCTACAGGACGCTCCAGGCCCATCCTATCGTTTTCCGAACGTAATTCGCTCTGCGATGTTGGCGCCGCCCTGGGACTGGAGGAATACGACGACGGCAGAAGGCACTACAACGGCAACGTGCATACGCCACGGAATGTCCTTTTGGCCTCTGGAGTGTCACAGGGGAGACGTCAAGCTGAAGCGACAGCAGATGAGGGGCCAACTGCGGGGTCCCACAGCCGCTCTTCCGGGAACGCCAGCTCACGAATCTCGTCGCGAAGTCGCGGAGTGCAGCAAGCTGCCTTACTTGGTGCGCCGCGGCCAGGGCAGGGAGGAGTCCTGTGTGCTACAACAGCGCCTGCGTGCGGGGCCGGCTCGCCTTACGACTACTGGAGGGCACGGTGTGCAACGGTGGCGGGAGCAGCACGACGGGACGCGGACCACCGACTGCGGGCGGAGCGGGACAGGGCACGGGCAGCACGGCTACGACTGTGAGAGACTGGGCTCCAGAAAAGACGTCGACGGGTACACAAATGGCTGCGCGCCTCACTGTACGACGACAGCTACACCGCCTCTGCTGCGACCACCACCACCACGAACGCAAAACGAGGCACTGCAGCTGGTGTCAAAACGAAAGACGGTGGCGGAAAATCTGGGACTGGGACGTTCCACACAATTTTTGGTCGGCGGGGCGAGAGCGAACCTCTTCCGCTAAAAGCTAGGCGGGCTACGCACAGCTTCAATGGGACGTCCCAGACAGGTGAAAAGACAGAATGCCGGTGTGGACCCAGCGGCTCCCGCAGTGGGATTGGGACGACCATGACGCTGTTGATGTGCGTGGTACGATGGACCGACAGCGGGGCACAGCGGCAGGCACCGACAGCTGGCCTGGGACAGAGGTGGCTGACCTGGGTGGCACAGTGGCCCCGGACGCAGCCGCGGTGCTCGACGCCTTCGAGGTGACGGAGGCCTCCCGGAGCCCGTGGGCAGAAGCGCGACAGATCCACCTCCCCGAGAGCCCGCCTGTGGGCGGAGGGGCCACCCCCGTCTCACGACTCCGACCTCGGCTCATGGTATACAGGGTCTGGGCCACGCTCGCCTGCGATCTCCCTCCTGCGCCGCCCGGTGCAAGAGAGGCCGCAAAGGGGCCCACGGAAAAAAAAGAGGCGGAGGAGGAGGAGGAGGAGGATAAAAGGAGGAGGATAAGAGGAGGAAGATAGGAGGAGGAGGAGGAGGAGGAGGAGGATAAAAGGAGGAGGATATGAGGAGGAGGATAAGAGGAGGAGGAGGAGGACGAGGGGTGCACCCTTCTTAGAAGGGTGCCACGGTGCACGACGCGACGGCACGGTTCATCGCTGACCTGGAGGAGGACGACTTCGGCACGCCTTGGGACTACAGCCTGGCGCCCAGCTGGGTACATCCTACGGCAGCAACGACAGCGGTGGGAAAGCCGGGTATGCCAAGCCGCTCTGCGGAGCTGCTGGGGAGCCAGTGGACCAACCAACGGCGGTGGCTACAGCTACACGGGGCCACTGCAAAGCAACCGGAAGACGTGCCCACCTCCCTTGCACAAGGGGATCTGTGGTTCGCCTTTGCAGTTACGGCCTCGCTCACGGGTCCGCTCTTGTGAGGCGGCCGCGCGAGAGAACCAGGGGCCAGCACCGCGCCGTACGTCGACGGCCGTACGTGGACGTCTCGCACCCTCGACGGTATGTGGTGCCGCGGCCATGTGGGACAACTGGTCGAAAGCCTTGGGCATGGTAGGGGGATACAACAAAAATCAATGGGCACACCGTGACACGCGGAAGCGGCGGCAGCTGCAGGCGCGGGGCGTCTGCGCGGGCATCATCTTCCCAAGCCTCACAATATAGGGGATGAATCTCACTGGGGGGAAGCACAGGGCCAGCGCCAAGGAGGCCAAGCGCATTTCCAAAGCCAAACGACAAGTGGAACGCGCGCGGTTGCTGCCACTCCCTCCACGGCAGCGACAAGAAGCGGTAATGCGGGGCCACTCTCTTCGACTCAATACGGGTGGTTCAACTCCACGCCGCCGCACGCGGCCACGGACAAGCTCCAGGCAGCCTTCCACAGCGCCACTGGTGTACCGTGATGGTCGTCGCCGCACCTCAAGTGCCTGGTCGTGGGTCACAGGGCCGACGCCTGGCTCCGAGCGCAGCAGAAGACGCTCGTCGCCGCAGCGCGGGTTGCATCTAGAGGAAAGAAAGACCGCAATTCGACGAGCGCTTGGGAGACCAGACGGACTCTGGAAGGCACTATCCAACAGCACCTCAAGTGGACGGGGTGGAGGAATTCAGCACAGTGGAAATAGTACCACCACGGGGTCGACGAGATAATCTCCCCGGACAGCACGGATGCGCACTGCCACTCGCCCAAGCTCCTGGGCCACATAATACGAGAGGCATGGCGGCATCACAAATTCCGCGGCTGGTTGGGTACGGCACGGGACGACGCGCAGGCGTGCAGGACTGCCCACTACGACGCGAAGCGGCTCAAGGCCGTCATCGCCAGTGCGCAGGAGAACCCGTCTACGTTGGCGGTGTTCACGGGAGGCCTTGTGTCGCCTGCAGCCTTCGAGCGGGGCTCTCGACGGAATGCCCGTGGTGCACATGTGCTGTGCCTACGACCGGCCGCGCGGTGTGAGTGTCAGCGAGAGGCGTTCCAGGACTGGCATCGTGCCCGCCCCAAGGACGCATAGAGACGTCTGGGATGGCCCACGGATGAATTACGAAGGAGGTGGACCAGTGGTTGCTGCTGAGGGTGCAGATGTCAGCACCACAATCTTGAATCACAGGTAATAGCGGTGGTGCTCGTCACATGTACTGTTGCGCCGACTGGGACCTCCAAACACAATGTTGGTTAACAAATTCGGTGGTGCTCATCACGGGTTCTTCTGCGCCGACGGGGACCTCTAACCACTATTTGGGGTTACATTTGCGGTGGTGCTGCGCCAATGATTGCCTTCAACCACAATGTTGGGTCAGAAGTACGGCGGTGCTCGCCACTGGTACTACTGCGCCGACGGGGCCCTCTTAACCCCCCCTACCACCCACAAGCGGGCCTCAAATGTGCCACGCTCCTGTCGGCGCCCTTTCTTGGGAATCCGGGCCGTGCCCTGTCACCTGTCGCTGCACAGGGTTGCGCGTGGCGCCGCTCTCTCTCTCTCTACGCTTGGGCCTCTCGGTGCCCGCAGGGGGAGAAAGAACAAAGCCGCCTCCTCCCTGAACTCCTCCTCCTCCGTCTCCGTCTCCGTCTCCTCCTCCTCCTCCTTGAACTCCTCCTCCTCCTCCTCCTCCGTCTCCTCCTCCTCCTCCCGCCTTTCCCCACCCCCCTGGGCGTGCTCTGGGCGCGGCAATCTGGCCAGGACAGCGTGCGGTCGACCGTCCGATCGACCGTCCCGCAGCTCCCCTCCCGAGGCCCCGGCCACGTTCCGGAACAGCGCCCCCCAGGGCGACTTCGTCGCCTTGAGCGTCACGGACCACACGTCCAGGGCGTTGTCGGGGAAGAACCCGAGCTCGATCGCCATCCTCGGACAAATATATACATATATATAGAGAGAGAGAGAGAGAGATTGAGAGAGAGAGAGAGAGACACCGAGAGAGAGAGAGAGAGCATGGGCAGGGGGATGATGCGGGCGATGGCGAGGATGGCGATGGGGGAGGAAGACGAGGGGGAGGGGGGAGGAGGATGAGGACGGAGGAGGACTATAAGGGGGGGGGGAGGGTAGCGTAGCGGCAGCAGGATGGGATGATAGGGGGCAATGGAGGGGAAAGCTTGAGCTAGGCCGACATCCTCAGACAAAGAGGGAGAGAGAGAAAGAGAGAAACAACAAACAAAAAACATATCTATATATAGAGAGAGAGAGAGCAAACAAACAAAAAAAAACAGAAAGAGCGATAGAGAGAGAGAGAGCGTTTAGAGGCATCAGTCCCCTCCTCCTCCTCCTCCTCCTCCTCCAGGCCCCCAAGGAAGAGGAGAAGCGCACGACAAACTCTACGGCAAGTTCGTGATGTGACGACACTAGCGTTGGTCTCTGACACCACGTGGATTGTTCAATCTTGAACAATCGGCACATTCTCGATCACCATATCGTTCCACTTTGGCCGATTCTGGGCGATTGGCGGCCTTTACCATTGAAAGCCCGCGCTGGGATCGCCGCCGCGTCGAGACGGCACGAACCTGCCGTGTCCTGGATCCCCGAACCCTCCCTCCCTCTTCCCCCTCTCGTGATACGCGGGGTCCGGTGTAGGGGGCAGGACGCCGCGAGCAAGACGTCGTTCTTCTCCCACCGCCTGCAGGGAGCTGCTGCCCAGAAGGACCGGCATCACGATCCGCCCAGCCCTACACGCTGGAAGCGGCCCGAACCAGAATGCGACAGCGATGAAGAAACACCTGCCATCGCTCGGACCTCAACTTCCCGCGCATGGTTTGGCTTCGTACGTTTTCTGGTTCAGACGAGCCGGGGTGCTCCTCGAGGGTCCTCGCAGAGAGCAAACGCACACGTGCCCGAGCGACGCCAAGCAAACCGCGACCTGCTGCAGCTTCGGGCCCCCGTCTCGGGCCCGGGGAGACCCCCAAAAGAGAAACGGGGCGCAGGGGGGACAGGAAGCGGCATGACCAGAAGCTTCCACAAAGGTCGTCGCCGACTTCTGGGGTCGGCAGTGGACCACGTCTCCCTGCACGCGGACTGCACCAGGTGCACCGCCAGAGGCGCCTCCAGGGGTGTCGAGCGCCGCTCCAAGACATCCGGGCGGCCCTCCGAAAGTTCTTGATGATGCATCACACGCGAACTCTTGTTGTTCGATCTAAGGGCACCCTCCCTGGTGCGCCGATGAAAGTTGGATCAGCGAAGATGGGGACGAACCGCATGCCAACGGTTATGCATAATCACCCCCTGAACCCCTTGCATATGATTAGCCATGGTTCAAATTGCCATGACAGGCGGGGGAGCGAGGTTGATCATCACCCACGTTTTGCATATTAGCGCTGACCTTCATACCACGTATAACACAATGAGTAAGTACCATTAGTATGCTTGTGAGGATGTCTCCAGCGAGACGCCCATGACCGAAGATCCGCCGAGTTTGCGACCATCGGCGAACAGCGAAACATCCGGGGCACATGATCGATCTTTCCTGGAGCCCGAACCTTTTTTTCTCGGCCGGATCACTCTCGCCAACAACTGCTTGGCGCATCAGGGTCAGAAGCATGTGCTCTAACGAAGGGGGCGGCCAGGGGTCGTACTGGAAAACGGATGGAGGCCATAAAACCTGGGCGACGTCATGGCCCTGGCACCAAAAACTATGTTAAGCCGCTGCTTGTGTCTCTACTACTACAGTGCGGGCGCGAGCGCGACCGCGAAGAACCCTCGCAAGAAACTATACCCTGAGAGCCCGTGCGCGAAGTGCGCCTGAGGGGAAACATGGAGCACCCTGAACATAGCAACTCCTTTTTAACTGCGGGAAGTCCCCGCGCAGCGAGAGGAGCGAAGACACCCAGGACACCCTGACGAAAAGCGTATTCTTGATGCGCGCCGACTTGCGCACTGAAAACCCCCCAAGGTAGTCACGGCTGGGCTCAACTGTTCCCCCACGTAGCCAATGGCGGTCTCACGCCGCCGCAGGTAACGCCCCGTGCGTCGAGTCTGCCCCAGGTTTCTCGGGGCCCCCGTGGAAGCCAGCCAGGACTACTTTGGGGGGCTGTCGTCGCGCAGCCTGGAGCCTTATCTCGTGGGCGCAAGTAAATTATGGCGCCCGAACTCAATCCGGGCGCCGCCCTCTCTCTTCATCACAAAGCCTCACAAGCCGTCGCCTCCCAACTTGCAACCGTGCTTATGCCGTGTCATGTCTCTCGGGTAGTTTTCGGCCGTTTTTAAAACAAAAAAAAGAAAACAAACAACCACACATAAAACAGCGTCTGACCGACCTCCTGAATGAGCTGCACCACCAGACTCCATTTTTATCAACACGTCTATCCTCGCGCAGGGATGTGACCTGTTTCTCATCCTGCTTGGAGCGATCGTCCAACTGCAGCAGAAAAGGATATCGCCCCTTTCCAATATGCAGAGACTCTGATGGCTTCTGAAGGTCCCACGCAAATAGCTTCGTGTCCGCCGTGGCCAGAACTCCATCTCGCATTTCCAAGATGTTGTCCAGCACGAGGAGAAGCGGCATCTGATCGCGAGGTCGACGATCTGGAATGACTTGAAACCTTCGCCCGTGATAGCAGCTCACCTTGCATTCGAAGACGTCCCTTGCATATGAACCAGTGGTCGATTGTAGAACCAGCCCCGCTGGTGCCGAACAGTGCGGGCCCACCCTCGCGATGCCATGTATTGGGTGGGCACAGATTTCGTGTGTGGCACAGCTGCTCCACCAGGTCGCCGGAACAATTTTGTTTCGCTCAACTGTGCTGCCCTGCGTGTTCCTCTGCCGCAGGAGCGCCATCATTGCGCTCGCCGAAGCCACGGTTCACGCCCGTGCCAACTCCCAGTAGGGAGCGAGTCCGAGTGCCTTCAACGATGTTGTCAATCCAAAGATGCGTCGCCTTCGCCGCCGCCTCATAAACAGCGATCTTCTTTCCAGTCGCGCCCGCGTGGTGTGGATAGCTGGCAACGAGCATAACTTCGGACTTGCCGCTCTTTACTCGAACAGCTCCCGCTCTGCCCTGGATCGCCTTGGGGGGGCGAAAATGTCCACCATGTCCTTGAGTCTGAATTGTCGTCAAAATATGACCGTGCAGCCAGCCGATCGAGCAGAGTACCCGCCGCCGAGCCGCTCCACCTGATACCGTCGGCCCGCCCAACTCCTGATGCGCGTGCCAGGAACCAAGACAGCGTCAGCACCGAGCTCACGTGGCACCTCGCGGCAGCGGCCCGCCGAGATCAGCGACAGCGGGTCGTAAAGAAAAATCGGAAAGAAAGTCCCAACACTCGCATGCCCAACCCGTGCGTCGCGAGCCCTCGAGACGGCTGCGTTCCGCTGGGCGCCTCGAGCGAGGATGCACGCCCGAAAAGAGAGGTTGGACGAACGCTTTCCTGTTGCGCTGCTGGGGTGCGGTCTGGGCCCAGATGCCCTGTACAGATGTTGAGGATGATGCTGATGATGATGATGTTGATGATGATGACGATGACGATGACGATGATGATGATGATGATGATGAGGAGGAGGAGGAGGAGGAGGAGGAGGAGGAGGAGGAAAGGGAGAAGGAGGAGAAGGGAGGGAGGGAGGGAGGGAGGGAGGGAGGAGGGAGGAGGGAGGAGGGACGAGAGAGGAGGGAGGACGAGGAGGTGGAGGAGGAGGGAGGGACGAGGGAGGAGGGAATGAATGACCGAGAAATGACCAATCGGGACCCTGTTCCGTCCGTCTCACAGCCTGCCCGCAGGAGGAACACGGGCCTCCGCGCGGCAGGCCGCCAGCTCAGCACACGGCGCCGAGCACGTTGACGGGGGAACCACGGACCCCAACCGTCCGAGGAAGAGCGACCACATATCGAAATCGCCGATGCCAGGTGAACAGCGGGCCCTGACCGCCG